CAGTCTCTGCTCAGATCATTTTAACCTGTGTCTGATGTAGTCCCACTATAGAGAGAGGGGTACCAATGTTAGGAACTAGCAGCCAGCTGACCCTCGCCCCAACGATGGGCGGGACGCTCATGGCCTTGTCATCCCTATGTCAGCTTTACCTGGCAGCCAGAGGACTCAGTTATGCAAGTCCCCTTTAAAAGCAAGTGCCCCACACCCCTCTCTCTCTCTGCCTCTCTGCCTCTCTCTGCTCCTTTGCTCTCTCTTTGCTCTCTCTGTTCCCTCTCTCTCTCCTGCTTTCGGTTGGCCACCAGCTACCTCCTCTTTCTCTCCCCTCTCTCAATAAACTCCACGTGGGCGCTGAGTCTCGTGTTTGTGTTTCTTAGGCATAAGTTGCATCAAAAGAACAACAACCACCTTTATCTCACCAGGAAATTATGTGTGTATGTGTGCACAAGCATGCTCACATGTGTGCAGGAGCATATTCACATATATGCATGTTTTTATGTGATGGGGGAGGGCGGTTCCAGGCAGGGTTTCTCTGTAGTTTTGGAGCCTGTGCTGGAACTCACTCTGTAGACCAGGCTGGCCTCGAACTCACAGAGATCTGCCTGCCTCTGCCTCCCCAGTGCTGGGATTAAAGGCGTGCGCCACCTTCTCCCAGCTTCCCTTAAATGTGGATTTAAGCAGCACAGACAGCCTCCCCAGAAAGTCTCTGCTAACTTTAAATAGTATCCTCCCACAGGGAGGATGATTTTCCCTGGTATCATTTTCATATTTACTTATTGAAATTAGGATGGAACAGAATGCCCAGCAATTAAGATGGCATTTCCCCTTCTATAAAGTATTAACACCTCTTGTGAACAACTTTAACAATGCAGAAGTTGAGAGACCGGGATTTTGTTCTGTCTTGGTTTGAGTTTTGAGACTCAGAAGTGTATGCCAGATGGTGGTGACGCATGCCTTTGATCCCAGCATCCAGATCCAGAGGCAGAGGCAGGCAGATCTCTGAGAGTTTCAGGCCAGCCTGGTCTACAGAGTGAGTTCCAGGACAGCCAGAACTACACGGAGAAACCCTGTCTCAAAAAAAAAACAAATACAAAACAAAATTCAGCAGTGCAGCCAAGGATGCCCTTGAACTTCTGGATTCTGCCTCTCTTTCGAGAGCTGGGATTTCAGGTGTGTGCCATGTCTAGTTGTTACCTGACAAAATGTCCGATAGAAGCAAGAAGGAAGGGTTAATTGGGGAACAGTCCATCATGGCGGCACAACCTTAAGGCCGCTGATCACATTGTGTTTGCGTTCAGGTAGCTGGGAGATGAGTAATGGTGGTCAGCTTGATTTCTCCTTTGTAACCAGGACCCTAACTCCACAGTGTGAAGGTCTTCCCATCTCAGGTAACCTAGACGACCCCCCACGTGCATGCCCTAGATGACCCAAGAGCTCATCAAGTTGAGGACTAAGATGAGCACACCAGGGCTGGGTGCAAGGTGAGCACTGAGTTATGCAGCCCTGTGTTGCTGGTGTTTGCTTTCGCTGTGGAAACAGGGTCTCCTCTTTAGGCCAATCTGTCCTGTCCCCTTGGTTTGACCCTCATGGGTTATGGGATAAGGCAAAGACACTCATTTCTCCACCTAGAAGTAGCTTCCATCCTTTATAGCATGAAGTGTTGTTGGAGTTTCTTTCCAGCCTGGTTCCAGAGCCAATTAGCCCCAAATGAACACACAGACGTTTTATTAATTATTATTAAACTGTTAGCTGATGGCTAGGGCTTCTTATTGGCTAGTTCTGTCTTCATTATTAACCCGTTTCTATCAATCTATGTATTTCCACGTGACCTTATCTACCAGAGAACGCCTGGCGCGTCCTATCTTTCTGGTAGCTCCGTGGCTTCTCTCTCTGCCCCTCTCACCAGAATTCTCTATCCCCTAGCCCTGCCTATCTTCCTACCTCTACTCGCCAATCAGTGTTTTATTCGTTAACCAGTAAGCGAAATGTATATACAGAAGGACATCCCCCATCAATGGGGAGAACATGTCTCCTTGCTGAGTGAAAGGCTATAGAACCAAAGTGGGGAATCCCATGGTGGCTGTTTTTTCTTATGTGGCGTGGAGTGGCATCCTGACCGGGTAAGTGGGGCCCACAGGAGTGAACATGCCTGTAGGAGCAGGGAACACACCACCCTGCAGTTCCCAAGACTAGCATACATGGGCAAGGCTGTCCCCAAGCCACTATGGCCGTCGTGTGACCACTTCTGTACGTGTGTAATAAGATGTATGATGGGACCAAGATAGCTGCTCAGTGGGATGGACATGCAGCCAGAGTCCTCCATATTAACCTCTGACCTGGCAGGCAGGCTAGCCTCTGATACCTCAGGGTAAATCTGATGGAAGAGACAGGATGAGAGGGAGGCGCTGGGTTGCCATTTTCTGCGGATGTAGAGCCGGAAGTGAATACGTTAGATGGGTGTTTAGCGGCTGTTGGAACTTGGAACCGGAAAAGAACCCAGAATGGGGAAGAGGACAGAGGGAGTGGCAGGAGCTGGATCTGGGATTCGACACACAAGAATGGACTGCAGGGAGACAATGACAGGCAGGGAACACTCTGCACCCAAACTGCTCAAATTGGCAAGGAAAGAGCCTGTCACAGCCCGGCTTGTGAGACTGAGAGACGTGGGGGCGTATGGACTCAGTCTGGCTGCTGTGGAGGCAGAAAAAAAAAAAAAAAAACCTGAGCAATGGCACTACCCATCCCTCCTCGAGACAAAGGCTGCACAGGCTCAGACGATCTGAGGAAAGCAGTCCCTGATAGGCTGGCTTCTGTGGGACATTAGGGACGCATGCGCCCCAGGGTCTCGGGACAGAGGAATGATTGGCACTCATGAGGGAACTCCGTATGAGAAGAACATCCGATGCCCGGTGCTCCGTTCACGGACAGACAGAACTCTGCTCATGGGAGACTTAGAAAGACGATCCTGCCAGGTCCGAAGGACACTCCATTCCCCCAAATTCTGGTGATTGGGCAAAAGCCAGCGTTCCTCAGGAACTTGTGAAGCAGGTTGCCCTCTACCAAACGAAGCCATTTTCCTCATCACTGGCAGAAGGGACAAATGGCTATCTGTGGTATGTGTTGGCATACCAAAGCGCATGCTGGCCTCCAGGCTCCCTGCGTATCACAGTTGCACACTTCAGAGTCCACGCTGGTTAGCCTCATCTCATCTCCTCCCTTACCCTAAACTCCCTCAGCTCATGAGCCTCCCCCCCACTCCCCCTCCACACACAGCTGTTCTCCTTATACTCCTGTTTTGGTTATGTTCCCTCTCGTCTGAATTTTGCCTTACTCTCTTATCCCCAGTCCCCATCTTTTCTCTGCTGTGGCCTGCTTCCTGCTTCCTCATGGTCAGGTTCCGGTCACCCGGCCATATTCAGTCTACTGCTGTCTCTCTCTGCTCTGGACTCTTCCAGATGCCTCTGGCTGCTTACTCTCTCTCTCTCTCTCCCCTCCCTCTCCCTCTCTCCCTTTACCATACCATGGAGCAGTCACGTCATTTAAACAGATCCACAACTGCCAACATGCAACATGGTTCAGCGAGTAAAGGTGTCTGTGGCAAAACTCTGAGGGCCTGAGTTTGATGCCTGGGTACCACAGTGGAAGGAGAAAGAACTCCTAAAAGCCATCCTCCAACCTCCACATGTTGTGTACACATGTGACTACTAATAAATAGCAAGAGGTTGATGCCACAGGGGTCTTGGAATGGCACAGGTCTCAAGGGCCTTTCCGAGGCCCGTGGTGTGATCTTCAAGGCTTGAGAAGCTCTGGAAAGTCTGAATGACTTTGGCTAGCATGTGAATTGGGACCAAAGAGTAGTAACTTATGATTGGTCTGCTCAGCTGCCTGTGGGTCATTCAGGTAGCTTTCATGGCTGTCAGTCACTTGCCAGAGGGAGGTTTCAATGCTGTGGTTGCTTTGCTTGAGTCATCCATAACCCCCTGTAATTAACACCCCCAAAAAATTTCACTTGGCAGTCCTGTCTGGACTGAGTAGACTTTGACTCTTGTCTTCCCAGGAAAAGTTAATTCATCCCTCTGCTACACAGCAAGTTCAAGACCAACTTGGCTATATGAGACCAAAAAGAAAAAAAAGAAAAAAAAAAGATAATTAGGGTTTTCCTCCCCCCAAAACCATTAAATAAATGTTGGACTAGTAATTAAGATGAATCCTGGTTTGACAGTGTGCCAAATTACAGGTCCACAATCCCTTAGATGAGGTCTTCAGGGACAGATGCATTTCAGAACTCGAGGCTGATCCAATTTTAGAAAGACCATTCTGCACCTATTATGCAAAGCCCCAGGGGTCTGAGGCAGGCATTGTCCACATCCCCCATCAGGCATGGTAATATCTTTTTGCAGCAAAATGTGTGAACACACTGGAAGGGATAAATAAACATATATAAATAGCTTGGTATGAGTTAGTCACCATGTGAGAGTGAGGTAAAAAAAAAATATTTGAAGTTATCAGTGAGAATTCAAAATCCACGAGCTGGCCATAGCGGCACACATCTGTAATGCAGGCACTTAGAAGACAGAGGAAGGGAAGGGCTACTAAGACCACAGACAGCTAGAGCTTGGGTAGTGAGACCTTGCCCCAAATCCGGCGGTTGGGAGGGCCTAGTTCCCTATGTTCACTATGGAGCCACGTAAGTAACTCAGAAGACACGGCGGCACAGTGGCAATATACAAAGATGCTCTAGAGGCAGAGAAAGGGGACAGCGGGGAGAAAGGCAGGCTCAGGACCATGGAGCTGGAAGAAACAGAAAGCAGGAAGCAGAAAGGAAAGCCTGCAGGGATAGAAAAGAGGGCTTCTCCCAATTCACTACTTGCTACTTGCTGGTGGGTGGCACTTTGAGTTAACAGGCCACCCGGGGGGAAATGCAAGCTGTGATTCTGAAAGGGCTGGGGGACTAGACTAGATGGAGGAGACAGACAGCAAGCACACACTTTTCTCAGGTTTGGATCACTAGTTTAATTCTCCGAGCAACAGTGTGCTATCTTCGTTTTACAAGACCAGAGAGGTTAAGTACATCGCTGTGCGTCATCCCGTGGGGAATGCTGGTGGAACAGAAGGGAACCAGCAGGGTAGATGACATACTCCCACCCGACACGAGGCTCCGTTCCTAGGATGCTTGCTGTCCGGCTCAGGGGTGAGGAAGACCACACAGGAGAACCCCATCCCCAGTCACGGGTAAGGGGAAAATGGACTCGATCGTCTGACTTCTTTATCAGAAGCTACCCCGGCTTCTCAGCCGTGGCACCAACAGCAGCGCAGATCAGAGGCTGTACCCACCTTTTTTTTTCTTTTTATATATTCATTATATACTCCACACTTTCCAAAGCAGCAAATGTGTCACCACCCAAACCCTGGGAAAAAAAGCTACAGCATCCCTGGCCAGGGCATGAGCCTCTATCCCTGCTACTGGAAACTATACCAACAACAGTCTCCAGCACACACGATTGTCTCCAAAGCTACACAAGGGCTCGCGACATTCGGAAAACCGGTAAGGCCTTCACAGTCTCTGACCTTCAATGGCCCTGGAACTGGCAAGCCGCTTTCCCCCATTCCAACCCAAAATTTACATAAGAGCAGTGGAAGAGAAAAGCCTCTAAGGCCGCGAGGCCACAGGGTTAGAGGGGACGAGCTGCGGACGACCACAGACCAGGGAAGCGCAGCTGAGGCTGGAGTTTTTTGCGGATGAACGGATGAACGCTGAGTCCCAGGGAGGAGCGGGATGTGATGAAGTCGGACAGGATCAGGACCGAGGCCAGGGGTAGAGGAGGCACAGCACTGGCGAGGCCCAGTGGTGCACAAGGGGCTGGTGCAGGCCACGATGGGGGCGGGCCAGGCTATCCAGGCGCTCGGCTCGCCGTCTCCGTCTCCGGTGTCGCTCCCGGTGCTGGGCGGTGGCTGTGGCGACGGCTCCGTGGCAGTCCCGGCTGTGGTCTCGGCCCGCCGGAGGCTCCGAGCGAGCAGGAGGCGGCAGGAGGTGGGGCGGGTGGCGCTGCACGGGCACAAGGAGCCGCAGGCGCACTGGGCAGGGGGTCGGCGGGCCCCGCGGGCGGCCGCGTGGGTACCCAGATAAGCCCGTAGTACACGGCGAGCAGCACGGCGGCCAAGGACACGCACAGGAAGTAGGCGCAGACTGGGGCCAGCCGCAGCCATCGGCCGCGGGGGCCCTCGCTCAGTCCCGCGCCGCCGGGGCTCTCGCCACCGCCGCCCACACAGCTCGAGCCCCGCATCGCGCTGCCCACACCACCCGCGCCGGCCCCGCCCCCGCCCCCTCACGCAAGCCACGCCCCTTCCAGGGCCACACCCCCTCTATAAGACCTCTCCCTGCCCTAAATCACCGCCCCCCTGTACCAAACCCAGCCACACCCTCACATCCTGGACACGCCCCCACTGACTCCAGCCAACCACCATGAGAAATGTCTTAGCCACGCCCCTCCGCTGCCACACCCGCCTGCTCCCCCTAACTGGGACTCCTGTTCCCCGGCCTGGGTCTCTCCCAGCTCGTCGGAACCGTCCCTTCTCCCACCGACTGCAGCTCTGCACACAAGCCACCCTCTGCCCGCCGAAGGCCGGGTCCCCCGTCTGCTGGAGCAGGCGGCATCCCGAGCCTCGGAGCTAGCCCCGCCCACCGAGCCTCAGCCCCGCCCCTCCCCGCTTCGCATCACCGGCCGCTGCGCCAGTTTGCAGGACCCAGCTCCGCCTCTCGCCCCGGCTGACCCCTTTCCCAGTAACTCCGCACCAGCGTAACTTCTCCCGCTCCCCAGAGGCGCGGGGTCCAAAGCGGGCTGCAGGGAGGAGAGCAGCCAGCCCGGGGGCCGGGCAAACCGCGCCGCCGCCCCTCCCAGCAGCGTCTTCAGGATTGCGGGAGAGCCTGCGGGATGGGAGGGGACAGGTGTCAGGATGGCGAAGAACACCCTCGTCCCGCCTCTTCCGCCACAGCAAAGCCCGCCAAGCACAGCAGCCCAGCCTGTCCCGCCAGCAGCACAGTTCAAAGGTTGGCGGGAGCACGCATTTAATTCAAGTCCTCCAGAGAGCCAGAACTCGGAGTCTCCACAGCTGAGCATCGCAGAGCCCCATTCGGACTACCCAGGCTGGTCGTCCGCGAATTTAGGAGACTCCCCTGGCCTGTGCCTAACCCCGCCGCTCCCCCGTGTTTAACCCTGTCCTGGCCGGAGTGTAGCAGAAGCAGAGGAGCGAGGCGGCTGGAGGTTAGTGCGGAGCGCCAAGGGCCAGGTCGGCTGGCGCTGTCAGCGGGCAGCCCCCGGCGGCGGAGCGGCCGCCACCACCTTGCAGAAACGCACCCTCTGGAAGTCCGTGATCTCCGCTGTCTCCTGGCCCTCATGGCCCACCTCTGAGGAGATAAAAAGTGGTAAATGGAAGACCAGCCTGGCAGACCCATCCTGTCTAGCCCACCTGTGGCTGGCCTCCACTTTACTCTCAGGAAGCCCAGGAAACAGCCCCCTCCAATCTAACCCCGCCGGCTCCTGGGAAGTACGGGTGTGATGGGATAACCGCCATCCTCTCGGACCCCAAACTGTTGTGTCTGGCCTGGCCCCTCAGCCTCCACCCTACCACTCTTTGACCATCGTTCCTGGGCTCTGCTCCACAGCCTATCCCACTGGAGGGGGAGGGAAAGGAAACACAGGCAAGAAACGTGGCTCACCACGTTAGGGCGACCAAGATCACCCTCTTGCTTCTACTCTGGGGCTCCAAAATTCCACCCAGGTCTTCCTCTAAACGCTAACCCCGCCCTCAGATAAGACTAACATCGGCTCCATTCATTTTAGAGGGTCCCTAACCAGAATTAGCCTCAAACTCAAGATTCTACGGATTCTGCCTCATCCCCCTGGGGACATTCAGATTTTGAAACCCACCTTTAGCGCCTTCCCAAAACCTAGCCTCACTCCTTTACCTCAATGAGCTTCCCCTGAGCCCAGCTTCCTGTCCCAGCGCTAGTCACAACTCCTGACTCCAGCTCCACCCAGACATGGCATGGCGCCCCACTCACCTCAAGCCCTGTCCCCTATCATCCCCCACAAGCAGCCCCATTTTCTGTTCCCAAGCCCTTCCCTCCCCCCAGGAATGCAAGCAGGGCCCCCACCTCCACCAGCCTCAAGCGCCCCACCTGGAGATGCCTCAGGCCCCTCTTCTTCAGACTTCGGGGCTGCTGCCAAGGTTGGCCCACTCTCCAAGGAGGCGAGGACTGGCTGGTCACCTCCTGGAGAAGGGGAGGCTCAGTCAAGCCCCTCCTTTTCCAAACGTCTCCCCACTTAAGGGGGCTCGGGGACAGTAGGGGTGTGTGAATGGACAAGGGGGTCTCAAGGACACAGTGGGGTGTCATTTAAGGACGTGAACTTTTTATTGGAGAGAGGCTCTGAACCAGCAAGAGCAGGCTCTAGGAAATGGGCTGAGGGCATGGAGTAGCCACCAAGTGCCCTTCCCCGCCATAGGGGTGGGGGAGGTGTGGGTACAGCCACACCCTGTGAGCTCACAGGACCATGTGCACAAGCGCGTGCGCGTGCACACGTGCGCGCGCACACACACACACACACAGCCAGTTTCATACATTCCCAAAAGGCCAGGCCTCACCCTCAGAGTGGGCACCGGGCGAGTGGGCAGTGTTGGGAGAATTCAGTTCCATCTCCTCACCCCAGTCAGACACAGGCTGGTGGTCCCCAGTGGGCGAGAAGGGGCTGGGAGGTTCAACAGGGTCTGGGGACAGCGACTCCTGGGGCCTGGCAGGTGCAGGGTCGGCCTGCTCACAGGTGGGCTTCCCAGCAGGCTCAGGGTCTCCAGGCTGATCAGGAACAGCTGGGGCTTCCTGCTCCTTAGGACCCTCTTCCTCCTCCTCAGACTCCTCTTCCTCCTCCTCCACCTCCTCCTCAGTGACATCTTCACTCACATCCTCCCATTCTTCATCCTCATCATCATCTTCCCTCTCCTCTTCCCCCTCATCTTCCTCACCATCCTCCTCAGGAGGTCGGTGGGCTGGGGCTGGGGTCTCCACAGGCTGCTGGGAACACAGGCCGATCAGGGAAAGGCTTGCGACCTGAACCCCCCCACACACACACACAAACCAATACCCACACCCTTATACCTGCTCTGCCTTACCTGCGTGGGTGCCTCCTCCAGGGACTTGGATTGAGAGGACTCAGGGGCTGAGGACACAGCTTCCTCTTTCGTCTCCCAGCGATTATCGTGGTCACTGGAGTGGACAGAGCACAGGGGTAAGGCCTGGGTGAGGGATGGACTTCTCAGAACATCTGTCTTGCTGCACTGAAGGCAAAGGCAGATGCAACAGAGCCAAGCACAATAAAAACAGGACACCCCGAGGGAGCGGGGACACCCCGAGGGAGCGGGGACACCCCGAGGGATGAGCATCCCACCTATAGGCACGAGGGGCCAGCTTGGCCTGGGGTCTGCTGTCCTTTCTCCTCCTGTGGCTCTTTATTTCTGCTTTGTGCTGAGAAAGGAACTCTCCAAAAGTGGGGGGCTTAGGGGGTCTCGCCCAAGCTTGGTCATCTACAACAGAAACGCAGATCCAAGTGATGGGAGATGTCAATCTGTACATGTTTCTCTTACTGGTTAATGAATAAAGCACTGCTGGCAAACAGGAAGGCAAGATAAGTGGGACTAGGAGAGGTGGAGGATTCTGGGAGATGTAGTAGAGTCTCCATGTGATCTCAGGAAGAGAGGACGTGAGTCTGACATTCTCCATAAGACCATGTAGAAATACTAGTGAAATATTAGTGATTATGGGTTAATATTTAAGACACAGCTAACCAATAAGTTACACTAGTAACCGGCCAATAGTTTCATAATTAATACAGTGTTTCAGTGTCTCTGTGTGTTATTTTGGGACCAGGCTGGTGGGAAAGTGCTCATAACAAAATGGCAGCCTTTAATCCCAGCACTCAGGAGGCAGAGGCAAGAAAATCACTGATTTCAAAGCAAACCTGGTATACAGAATGAATTCCAGAACAGGCAAAAGTTACACACACACAAAAAAACCCTGTCTCAAAATAAAAAATAGAAGTTAAAAAAAAAAATAGAGTAATAATAAAGCCACGTAAAGATGGAAAGCACAGAGAGACTGGATACTGCATGTGTTATCTTTAAATTGCACAACTGCTAATATACATTTGATTATCAATGCTGCTAAATTAATCCAACTTATATATTTTAAAAATGCTTTGACTTAAAAATTTAAGTCTAAAGACAGGTTACTGGGGAAAAGAATTTCTATTTTTGTTTCCACAGAAAATAAAAACTCTGGATTCCTTCCAAACTAACATGGTTTGATCAAGCAAGACCACCTAAAAAACTGTCAAAACAGCCGGGACAAGGCAGCCTTGCAGACTACAACTAGGACTTCTGCATCTTCTTAGGATCCCCAAGGTATTACAGCATCCCCAACCAGCAGGAAGCAGTTTGGAAATAATGACACCCAAATTCACAAATATTGTCTATAAAGTTTGTTTTTATCTAAATGGGGCTGGTTATAAATAGCTATGATCACAACCAATCTCTTTTTAAAGGTAAAAAGGGGATTATGGTATTAAAATGAATGCTTTGTTTTGGAATGGATTTTCATTTATTAATACAAATTTAAGGTCAATTTTGTGATATGTATATTTCTCCTCTTGTTTAAGTATTGTATTTATATAGCTCATTTTAAAATGTAATGTATAATTAAGTACAAATTATAGGTAGTCACTTGTAATAGTCAAAACTTAAAGTTAGGTTTGTTAGGTTTTTATAGATATATAGAGATATGTTTCAAATGGATAGGCATTCTTCAACCCTTTCAAAGACCTACAGAATATGACATTTAAAATGGTTTAGGGTTTTTCTTAACAGTGAGGCACAGAAAGGAACATGGACATTGAAGAAACTTGTTATAGAGCTTGCTTTCAATATGGCAAGACTAGCCATTTGGGCAAGAAACTGCTCTTGTCTGGAGTGTTTGACTTTATGCTGTATAAACTGGACATGTAGGACCCACAGGAAAGTGACTGCTGATACAAGACAGACATTGCTGTAGGGTTCCTGTTTCATGAAAGAGCCTGCCAGACAGTCTACAGGACACAGAGAAAAGTGACTGACAAACTGCCAATACAAGAAGACAGTTTAAAGTTTCCTGCTTTGCTGAGGAGTCTGTCAGACACACTATGGCCTATGGGCTGAAGATGGAAGATTACAGAACTTCAGGTGACTGACCAGGCACTGAGTTGTCTCTGTCATATCCTTCTGTGGTCTATGATGGAGTTGAAGACAGATAGTCACGGTTACAGTTTTCCTTAGTTAGGATTAAAGATAAGTTACATATAAGACTTTAGACTCACAAAGATAGGAAAGGTGATAGAATACTTTCTTTAATTCCTGATGTTAATGGACTAAATATTATTAACTATAGTTCTTATTTGATAACTGTTTTGTTTATATATTTAACTATGTTAAAGTTAAAACCCTTTTTATTTTAGACAGAAAAGAGGAGATGATGGGAGATGTCTTTCTGTACATATGCTTCTCTTATTGGTTAATGAGTAAAGCACTAGGAGAGACTAGGGACTAGGAGAGGTGGAGGGTTCTGGGAGATGTAGTGGAGTCACGATGTGACCTCAGGAAGAGGACTCGAGTCTGGTGCTCTCAATAAGGCAAGACCATGTAGAAACACATATTTAAGACAGAGTGAGCCAATAAGAAACACTAGTAACTGGCCAACAGTTTCATAATTAATGTCTCTGTGTGCTATTTTGTGACTGATGCAGCTCTGGGACCAGGGTGGCTGAAAAGTGCTCTTAACACCCAGGACTTAGGGGATGGAGACACAGCACGTGCCACACTCAAACTCCGCTACTTAACCCTTTCCAAGATACTACTCATACTTAACCCTTTCCAAGATACTACTCACCATAGCGATGGGATGGTTCGTGCGTAGGAGCTGGCCCGTCCTTGAACCTAGGAAGAGAGCAAAGCAAGCAACAGCTGAGGGGACTGAGGAGAAGCAGAGGAAGCTGGGGGATGGAGACAGGGACAGATCAAACCAAAGCAGCACCAAAGGGGCCGCTGGTTAGAATGGGGTCAGACAGAATAAGGGATGAGAAGCAAACCTAGCTTTCTAGTGACAAAACCAGACAGATATGGATGTGGCCTCTGAAATACAAACGTGAGGGCTGGAGAGGGGTGGTTCACTTCCCTACCAACCTCAGCACCTTGTGCATCTACCAGCCCAGGATAGGCAAGTCCATTGGGGTTGCTGCCCTCAGCCTGCAACATGTTCAAATCAGAGCAAGGACATAACTGTGGGCCAGGCAGGCCACCACATACCCGGTACCCTAGCATTTCAGAGGCAGAGGCAGAAGAATCAGATTCAGGCTGTCCATGACTCCATAGCAAATTCAAGGTCAGCCTCGGTTACATGTCTCAAAGAAAGAAAAAGTAGCTGGCGGTGGTGGCACACATATTTAATTCCAGCACTCAGGAGGCAGAGGCAGGTGGATCTCTGTGAGTTCAAAGCCAGCCTGGTCTACTTCCAGGACAGCCAGGGCAATACAAAGAAACTGCCTCGAAAAACCAAAAAAGAAACAAAAGGTAAACAAGAATAAACATGGAAATTCTGTCACTACTAACAACTCTACAGGCAAGCAGAAGGTTCTGAGTGAATCCAAGCCAGCCACTCTGGATCGGCAGCTGAGTGTTTTCCCTATCCCTTACCCTTTGCTGGCTGTGCAGGAAGATACAGAGCCTGAGTGGCCAAGAGTTCTGTGCTAGCCTAAGTCAACATAGCCCAGGAGGCCTGTGAGCAAGGGACAAAGAAAGCTTTTCATATACAAGCTGGGCATTCAGAGAGGCTAAGGCTGGAGGCTGCTCAATTCCATGCCCATTGGAGCTGCATACCCAGGCCCACACAATAGAACCAACTCCCACAAGTTGTCTTCTGTGTCCTCGCTCAATAAAAAGATATGTGTAAGGAGCTGTAGAGATGGCTCGGAGGACCAGGGTTCAATTCCCAGCACCCACATGGCAGCTCACAACTGTCTGTAACTGCAGGATCCAACAGGAAGACTGAAAGGTGAAAGCCAACCTAGGTAACATGGCGTCTCAAAGAGTAAAAAGGTGAAATGGCAGGAGAGATGGCTCTGTCAGCTCTGGATGCTCTTCCAGAGGACCCGGGTTCATTTCCCACAACCCTCTGTAACTACAGTTTCAGGCAATCTGATACCATCTTCTGGCATCCATGGGCACCAGACAGGCACATTTTATACAAACATACATGCAAACAAAACACTCAGTACACATAAATTTGTTAAAAAATATAAAGGTGGGGAAGTAGAGATGGCTCAGTGGTAGAGTACCTGTCTAGAATCCCCCAGTGAGGGGCTGGGGGCCTAGCTCAGCTTTGCATACTTGTCAGCATGCCAAAGGCCATAGGTTCAATCCCCAGTACCAAAGGGAGAAAAAGAAAGACAGGCTTCCATACACCACCAAGGCACAGCCTGCTGTAACCAACATCACCAATACCCACAATACTGAGAGTGGCTTGAGCCAGGGCCCAGCAGGGAGGCGGACTCACAAGCCATCGGTCTTCTCGGCATCCCATTCCCGCCGCCACTGCCCAGTGGGCTTGCGGTGTCGCTGCAGGCGCTCTTGGTCGATCTTCTCCCTCTCCTGCTTCCAGCGCAGGTACTCTGACCGCTCTCGGCCCGTCATGGACATTGTCATGTCTCCCCCAATGCCTAGGCCGGCCCTGCGGCCCTGCAGGCAGCACAGGCAGTCAGACCCCAGCTCCCCTCCACACACACCCCACACACACCATCCCTCCATCCCCACGCCCCCAACTCCCCCACCCCCACCCCCCACCAACCCCCCCAGACACAAACAGGACCACTGCTTAGGGCACACAGGACTGAGTTAACAAGCAGCAAGCAAGTGGGTGGCTGAAGCTGCCTCCTCAGACAGGCTCTATCTCCTATCTATTTATTTTTGGTTTCAGACAGGGACTCATAGCCCAGAGCGGCTGCCTCAAACTCACTATAGAGCTAAGGAGCTAAGGATGGCCTTAAACCCCTTGTGCTGGCTAGTTTTATGTCAATCTGACACAAACTAGAGTTATTTGGGAAGAGGGACATTCAGGTAAGAAAATGTCCACACCAGACTGGCCTGCCTCTACCTCCCAAGTGCTGGGTCTTAACTTTCTTTCTCAGATGTAAGCATTCCATTTTTATTCCCCGTGTGTGTGTGTGTGTGTGTGTGTGTGTGTGTGTGTGATGTCTGCACGTGTGTGCATGCACATGTGGTGGCCAGAGGGGTGTCTTGTTCTGTCACCGCCCCCTAGCTTATTCCCTTGAAGCAGAGTCTCTAACCGCAGGGAATCCAATGATCTTCCTGCTCCATCCCTAGGAATGCCTGGAGTCTGCTCAGCCTTTTTTTCACAGGAGTGCTAGGGATTCAAACCCAGGACCTAATGCTTATGCAAAAGCAGTCTTACCCACTCACCCATCTACGTCTTCCCTTTTTTGAGACAGGGTTTATCTATGTAACCATGACTGTCCTGGAACTCACTTTATAGACCACTGAACTCAGAGATCTGCCTGGCTCTGCCCCCTAAGTGCTGGGATTAAAAGTGTGCACCACCACCATCCAGCATCACTCAGGCACTCTTAATCACTGAAGCATCTCTCCAGCCCGCTCTTCATCTTTCTTAAGAAGACATCCCTGACCCTTCCTCACTTTTTGGGGGTGATGACATTTTATAATACCCAGCCTTTAATTAGACTTTTACCCATTCATTTTATCCACTGGAATACAGTACAGCTTTGTCTTAGAACTATCTTCCCTGGCCTACAATCCCAGCACTTGGGAGGCTGAAGCAGGAGGGTCAAGAGTTCAGGACTGCCTGGGCAACTTAATAAAAACAAAAGGGCTGGGGATGTAGCTCACTGGCAGACAGTTTACACAGCATGTGTAAGGCCCTGCACCATATCACGGCATGGAAAAAAAGCCCAACATGAACCCTTAACAAAGAAAACACTGGCAGCAGGGCGCAGTGGTGCACAGCTTTAAGCCGAGCACTCAGCGTAGAAGCAGGCGTATCTCTGTGCTCGGCTTAAAGATGGAACTCCACCAGGGCCAGACAGTGAGACCCCATCTCAAAAGAAAACAGAAAACACTGGCCACGCACGGTAACCAAACTACATAGCAAGATCCAAACCAGCCTGAGTCCCTATCTCAATAGCCCCAAAATCAAGCAGCACTAACCCCCACATAGGAAGCAGCTCCCAGCCGGCGCAAAGCACAACTCTTGGGAAGCTGCAGCACCCACCTGTCTCTCGTGTTCCAAGCCAGAGCGCACCCGCTCAAAGTCAGAACCTCCCCAGTTGCGGCCATGCCGGCGGCTGCCCTCCCTGCGATCCCTCTCAGGCTCCTCCAGGGGTCCGCCCCGACGCCGGGGATCATCCAGGAAGTTGCGTACGGGGTTGGGCTCCAGTACCCCTTCCTGCAGCAGAAGAGCTGGCAGGTGGGCAGGCTGGGAGGCACGGGAATGCCTTTCCTCTCAGCCCGCCCACCCACAGGCTGCCCGGTGCTGACCCGCTGGTTGCGCTCGTACTCAGCGATCTTCTCCATCTCCTCATTCATCTTCTCAATGTTCTGCCTGCGCCGCTCCTCCCACTCCTGAGGAGACAAGAGGGCACAGGACTGTCAGAAAGAACCACAGTTAGCTGTGCAGAAAAGACAGGGCAGCCCAAATTCTCCAAGGACAGGCAGGTGACAAATAGTGCCTGGCCCGGAACTTGTTTGCATGCAGGGGACCCTGACATACCTCACGCACTGCAGAAATGGTGCACGAAGATAGTAACTAGGCAAGCAACTAGTGGCCACCACAATCTTTACCCTCCCATCTGCAACACTAACAGAGTTTATAAATAACAGCCTAGTGAGGGCAGGGCAGTGGTGGCCCTTAATCCCAGCGCCCCCCAGAGGCAGAGGCAGGCGGTTTCTCTCTAAGTTCCAGGACAGCCGGGACTGTTACACAGAGAAACCCTGTCTCAAAAAAAGTATGAACAGCCAACTGGACAGGACTCTCATTTCCCAGCAGCCACTGCTTCATGGGATGGCCAAGTGCTTCCCCCAAAAATGTAAGGAAGTGTGTTTTCTCTGTCAGTGTCCCAGCGTCCACCTGTGGACAACAATCCTAGGGTGAGCAGGCCTGACCTCCTGATCACATTATTTAACTCAGCACACGGGAGAAACAAACCTGCATTCTACTGCATCCATCACATCTGGGGCCCAGGTGTGTGCGTGCGTGCGTACGTGCGTGTGTGTGTGCGTGCGTGCATGTGTGTGCGCGCGTGGAGGCCAGAAGGACCACTTCCAGTGCTGGCCTCATCTTCCCCCCTTTGGAGACAGGGTCTCAGGATCTAGCTCCAGTGGAGCCCACTAGCACAGAGAGCGATCTGCTGGTCTCCTCTGCCAGAACTAAGGTGGCAGCAGGACACCAAGCCCATCACCCTTTCTTTTAAATGAGTTTTCCTTTTAGATTTATTTATTTAGTATTATGTACAGTGTTCTGCCCGCATGTCTGCCTACACACCAGAAGAGGGAGCCAGATCTCATTATGGATGGCTGTGAGCCACCATGTGGTTGCTGGGAACTGAACTCAGGACACACACACACACACACACACACACACACACACACACACACACACGGAGTGCGCACAAAGCACAAGTCTGAATGCTAGAAAACAGAGACGGATGCAGAGCACTGGTCAGGAGGGCCAGCTGGAGGTGAGGGCAAGGAACACAGAGGATCGGGGAGGAGCCATCCAAGCAAGAATGCAGAGAAAGCAAAGGGAAAGAAATGAACTAGCCGGACACAGCAATGCAAGCCTGTTTTTCCAGCCACCAAGCAGGTAGAGCTGGAGGATGCCAAGTCCAAGGCCAGCCTGAGCAACCTATTGAGATGAGATCCTGTCTCAGAGGAAAAGCTAAGGGTTAGGGATGCAGTTCAAGGCTAAAGAACTTATCTAATATTCGCAAGGCCCAAGACCAGAAAAATGAATGAATGAATGAATATCAGGGAACAGAAAACACTTGGCTCAAGCTTCTTGGCCTACTTGGTGCCTACCTTGGACTTGCGGTCAGAAGTTGAGTTGTCTCCTGCCCCTAGGAGATGAGGGGATCCCCGACCCCGGCCTCTGCGGCCCCGACCCCCAGTTCCTCCTCGAAGCTGCTCCCCAGCACCATCCTCCCAGCCTCGGGATGTCCGGCCTACAACTGCCCTGCCTCCCTGCTGGGGGTGTGTCCGGCCCCCTCTGCTGGTCCCTGGGGGCCGGGGGGTCCCAGGAGTCCTCCGAGAGGGGCCCAGGCTCTTCTCCTGAAAAGGCAAAGGAAGAGAAGCCAGTCAAAGGAAAGGTCTGGGTCCCAGGCCTGAGCCCTCTCCATCCGCCCCACCCTGAGAATTCAGACATGCTGGGCTCTCCACCTCCACTGCCACATTCTCCTTCTCCGTAGAACGGCTCTTCCGAGGGCCTGTCACCGCCACGCCCTCCAATTCAGCCTTTTTCCGGTCCTCCTCGATCTCCTAGGAGCAAATATCCAGGGGATGGGGTGTTAGGGTTCCTGTGCATCAGCTGGGCTCCCATAGTCCTCTACGCTCTCCCTAAGCTTCCCACTCAGGCTTCTCTCCAGAGCTTTAGACACTGGTCACAGCATCTTCCGTCAAAGCCCACACGCTGCTCTGCTGCAGAGTCCCCACTGTAAGCCCATCTGTGAGAGCCGAACGCTTCCCCCCCAAGTGCAGGCCTTCTCCTGCACCCACTCTGGCCTTCTTGCTATTCCCCAGGCCTCAGGCCTGCCCTGAGCTCCAACCCCAGGGTTCTGGTACCAGCTACTCCTCTGCTAGAGTGAGCTCTTCCACCCTGTAACTCCTCAGGTTCCAAGTGTCTCACCGCCTACCTGCTCTCCCTGTTCTCACGCCCTGCTTGGTAAACACGGGGACACCTGTTCACTGACGCACACCCCTACCCCAGCCCACAGTCTGCCTCACTGCAATCAAACCCAATCTTTTTTTTAAATGAATGAATGCATGAAGAATGAGTCAATGAGGCCACCCTCCTCCTAGGTCCCTTCAAAAAGGACAGCCCCACAACCTCCTCTTGGACCCTGCTCTAGACCCTTCCTCCCCCTCCCCCTCTAGCCCCAACCGTCCTTGGTCATTAAGACTCTTTCAACAGCCTAGTCCTGAGCCAGACCTGCCTTCTCCAACTAGGGTGTTCCTGGCCCAGCTTTCTTCTTAATATCTGGACTCCCTTCCACCCACACCACACAGAAAAAAAAAAAAAAAATGAGTGTCCCTGCTAAGAGCTGTTGTGGCTAGGTCTCACTCCTACTCAAAGCCCTCCATGGCCTCCCTAGGGCTATAAAAGTGCTCTCCAAACTACAAGGCTGGCCCCTGATGACCTCCCTTGATCAGCTCTCCACCAACTGACTTTCCAAGCCTTCTCAGCATCCAAACATTTACACATCTTGTGTGAAACATAATCCACCTCCTTCCCAAATAGCTAATATCTAGGCACCCTTTAGTTCTCAGAATCCCCTCTACCAGAAAGCTCGCCCTAATATCCTCAGGCTAGTGAGAGAACTCTAGACTCCCACAGATCTGTTAATTCCCACCCCAACCTTGTCTAGTCTAGGTCATCACAAAGAGCAACTATGTCCCAAACTGAAGCGTGAGCCCTAAGGGAAGTCTAGGGAATACATCCCTAGCACCACACAACATGGAGCTAGGACTCTGGAGACTCAGCGAGCAGATGTGAATAAATGAATAAATGAATGACGGGATGAGGGAAGGGAGGCCTTGGGCTTTCGTCCTGTGAATGAAGGGGAAGCATGAGAAAGCTTGAAGGGAGAGGTGGGAAAAACTCACTGCGGGGAGAGGGGGTGGGGTCTCCCAGGGCAGGGCTAGGGCACCTGGTAGCGCCGTATGAGGGCCTCATTCTTCCTACGCAGAGCCTCGATCCGCTTGTCCAACTCAGCATCCTTCTCCTCTTTTGATTTCAAATCTAGTGTGGTAGCCTGTGGTGGGGAGGTGGGGGGCTGGTAGCCTGGGGTGGGGAGGTGAGGGCGGGGGAGGGAGAATGACCCTCCCACCAAGGGCGTTTTACCCAGGATCCCACCTTCCCAACCCACTTCTCCACTTTGCAGCTCACCATGTCATCCGCTGTGATCTCCCTCACAGAAAGTAAACGTAGCACTGGGGGTCCCTGGGGACAGAGAGAACAATCAGTTAAGACCAACAGCATCCTGAAATGCTGGCTCCTCTCCTCTACTGAAGGCTCACAGAAAAATACACTTCTGCTTCATCAAGGGAATCCTCAAGTACCAGCCTCACCTCTTTACTAAAGAAATACAAACCCTGCCCTTCAGTTTTAGATCCACCCATGCAATTAGTCAGACCCACCTTGGGAAAATTCCAGCCCCACCCCTGTACCTAATACTAATTCCTCCAAACAAAGATGTCAGCCCAGATTCCACAACCTATAATTTTAGCCAGGACCGGGTTCTCAGAAGGCCAGCTACAACCAGTAAAAGTAACTTTTAGAGGGCCAGAGGGATGGCTCAAGGGATAAAGGTGCTTGCTGCAAAGCCTGGGAACCTGATGGAGGTCAATTCTCAGGATCCACAAAGTGGAAGAGGAGAACTGACTGTTGCCATTTAAAAAGCAGCCACCGGACAGAGCTCACGCTACAGAGCTCACGTGGAGGGGTTTTTTTAGGGGAAAGGGGGAAGGGGAGGGGAGAGACCGGCCTCTGGAGACAGGAGCAGCAGAAGAGAAAAGGTCGGGGGGGGGGGGGACACAGAGAGACAGGCAGAGAAGCAGAGGGCAGAGGGGGGAGAGAGGGATGGGAGGTGGGCAGGGCCCTTTTAAAAGAGAATGCAGTGAATGTGCACAGGTGGTGCTCTTAGTGGCTGCAGCTGAGGGCACATCTTGTCAGAACCTCAACGACAGATGGTACAGATGCCTGAATACCAACACTGACTCCCACCAGTTGTCCTCCGACCTCCGCGTGCTCACACACACATGCACAAAATAAATTAAAACAAAATAATTAAAAAACAGTTCCAGCTCTCCGAGAAGGTTAACCCATGGCTCCAAGACTGAGTCAGCCCAGCCCTGAAAAGGGACTCATCAATCTCCTACCAAGCCGGAAAAGATCGGGCAAGAAGGCCCAGGATCCACTTCGGGGGGCTTCCTGGACCGGACTTGACTGCCATAGTGATATCCAGCCCAGAAGACAGAACATCTACGGAGGCTTATAAGAGAAAACTGCCAGCCACGGCCGCGCCCCTGGCCCCACCCGTGACCGGGATGAAACTTCAGGCCCCGCCTTTCCCACCAGACTTTCCCACATAAAAAAAGAATACAACCTGGCTCCGCCTCCAATTTAATCCTATAGGACCCGCCCCCGCCATGCCCGGAACCATTCTGGCAACGCCTCTGAGTCACGCCTCCTCCTCCAGCTTTGGATGCGTTATGTAGCAGGAAAAACTTCCTGGATCCACTCCCACCATTATCCCCGCAGCATCCTAACCCCACCCGCAAAATCCCTGACATTTTGGCCCCGCTTCTATCCAATGTCAGCTTCTGGGCAATGATCAGGCAGGACCCACTTCTAAAGCCAAGAAACTTTCCAGGCTTGCCCAGGTGCCTCCGCCCCAGACCCCAGCCCCTACATTAGCCACGCCCTAACACAGCCATCAAGTTACCAAACCACGCCCCCTACGGAGAGCAAACACCCTGGACCCGCCCCCAGCATCAAGGACCAACACAGCACAAAGCCCCAGTCGGGTCACCGCCCCTTCCCCAACCAACGCCCAAACCCTGCCCCTTCCCCACACCTCTCCAAACTTTGGCTCCGCCCATCGCAGCTCCGCCTCCAGCTCTCCCAGACACGCCCCCCGACGCTCTCCGCACAGACCGTAGACCCCCGACCCTTAGGGCCCCTCGAAATGAATACCCACCCAGGCTCTGCCCCCAGCCGCTCCACCCATCTCCCTTTGTCCCGCCCCACTCCGGCTTGGCCCCGCCCCGTTTTCCCGCCCACCGCCCAAACCCCACCCACCTGCGCCCCTCCCGCAATGCCCCCAAGCCCCGCCCCCAGCTTCTCCTGCCAACGCCCAGACTCCGCCCTCCATTCCCGCCCCACGACACTCGGTGCCGCCCCCTGCGTCCCCTCCCAACGCCCGGGCCCCGCCCACTAGTCCCCCAGCCAAGGCAGGCCCCGCCCCTCCCCGGCAGCGCCCGCCTGGCCCCGCCCACACGCTCTGGGCCCCGCCCCGCCCCGCCCCCGGCGACCGTGGGGGCGTCCTGGCCCCGCCCCCCGCGGGCTGAGCTCCTGGCCCCGCCCCCGCCGGCGGCTCGCCGCCTCCCCCGTCCGCGCGCGCTCCCGCTGCCCTCACGTGGGCGAACAGGCCCCGCCCTCTCCGCCGCGGGCGCGCTCCCGGCCCCCTCCCCCGGTCACCTGTCCCGGAGACCCCGCGGCGCCTGCGACTCCGACTCCGTCCGCCTCCGCGCCCGCAGCTCCCGGGGCCCCACACGTCACTTCTGGTCCGCTCCACGTGAAAGGAGGAAATAAAGCGGGCCACTTCCGGTCCTGAGAGCCCATTTCCGGTTGCCTTAAAGGGGCCGCGCACCAGCCCCCCCACCCCACCCCACCCTCACCCCATCCCCATCCCCGGGCTCTGCAGTTTGTGTTTCTTCTTCCGCGTCCTCCTTTCTTGCTCGGACTTTTCAGCCGCTAGGTCTCCGTTTTGATCAATAAAGGCCGACATCATACAGTGTGACCCCTGGAAACAACCCTGGTTTTAGAAATTGTAACCGATTCATAGATACATTTGAAATTTTTAGGAGACAGCTGTAAACCAAAGCTGGGCGTGGGGCGCATGCCTCTAATTTGAGCACTTGGGAGGTTGAGGCAGGAGGGTGGCCTCGGACAGCTGGAGATAATGTCTATTTCAATATTCGCATACACAGCTCCAGGCCAGTCAGGACTGTAGATCCTGGCTCCAAGAAGAGAAAAATAAAAATAAAAAGGCATTTGCCGCCAATCCTGATGTGATGACCTCGGTTTGACTCCTGGACTCTGGACTAGCAGGTGTACAATCTGTTAACAGCTTGCTGACGCTTGAATTTTATTGTTGCTTTTTTTTTTTTTTTAAGATCTCAGTTGAGATTGGCCCTAACCACCTGATTCTCCTGCCTCAGCCTCTTCAGTACTGAGATAAGATTACAGACCTTCAGTCGCTATGATCATCAAATTGGCCGTCTTAAACTGACTGCTGTGAGGTAGGTAGGTATTCCATCTGACAGATGGCCACAATTTGTCTGGCCTGGTCTTAATGGACGTTAGGATTATTTCTGTTTCAGTTAGCAGGAACTACCAACAGTACTTAACTGAATTTCTACAGGGACAGCTGTGAGTGTGTGTGTATGTTGGGGGTGTGAATGTGTGTGTGTGGTGTGTGTATATGTGAGTGTGTGTGTGGTATGTGTTTGTAGGGTGTCTGTATGGTGTGTGTGTGTGAGTGTGAGTGTGTGAGTATGTGTGTGGTGTGTGAGTGTGTATGTGGTGTGTGTCTGTGTGGTGTGTGTGTATGTGTGAGAGTGTGTGTGAGTGTGTGTGGTATGTGAGTGTGTATGTGGTGTGTCTGTGTGGTGTGTGTGTATGTGTGAGAGTGTGTGTGAGTGTGTGTGGTGTGTGAGTGTGTATGTGGTGTGTGTCTGTGTGGTGTGTGTGTATGTGTGAGAGTGTGTGTGAGTGTGTGTGGTATGTGAGTGTGTATGTGGTGTGTCTGTGTGGTGTGTGTGTATGTGTGAGAGTGTGTGTGTATGTGTGTGTATGTGGGGGTGAGTGTGTGTGTGTGTGTGTGTGTGTGTGCTGTAGAAGAAGCAGACTTGTGCCCAGATTTGGTCACTTGGCTACATACTCAGCCCAATTCTCTTATTGTTTGCTTTAAACTGAAAAAACAGAAAATGCCGGCCCAGGCAGCGGTGGAGTATCGATTCAATCCCAGCACTCAGAGAGGCTTACACAGGTGGACCTCTGTACTTTCAAGGCCACCCTTGGTTGGTCTACTGGTCTACCTAGTGTGTTCCAGGACAGCCAAAGCTACATAAAGATACCCTGTTTTAAAAAAAAAAAAAAAAGTGTAAATACACACACACAATTTTACGTGTATGGGGTTGTTTGCCTGCATGGATCCCTATGTACCACTAGAGTGCCTGCAGCCCTCAGAGACCAAAGGGCAAATGGTCCCCAAGAACTGGAATTCCACGCTGTTGTGAGTCACTATGTAGGCGCTGGGAGCTGAACCCGGATTCTCTGCAAAAGTATTAAGCACTCTTAACCACTAAGCCAATATTAAGATTTATTTATTTGTTGTGTACACAGTATTCTGTCTACATGTATGATGCTGGCCAGAAGAGGGCACCAGATCTCATTACAGATGGTTGTGAGTCACCATGTGGATGCTGGGAATTAAACTCAGGACTTCTGGACAAGCAGCCAGTGCTCTTAACCTCTGAGCCATCTCTCCAGCCCCAATATGCAACTCCTTTGGTTTGTTTGCTTAGTTTTTTGTGACAGGCTCTCCCTGTGTTTCTAAGCTGTCCTCAGATTCCAGGCGATTCTCCAGCCTCTGTGTCCTGAATGCTGGGATTTACAAACGTGAACTATTCAGCAGCTCATCCCGGTTTTTCTCATTGTTTGAATTTTGGGGAGGGAAGGGATCATGCGTGCCATAACACTTATGTGGAGATCAGAGGACAACCTGCAGAAATTGGTTCTACCCTACCACATCAGGTTGACACTAAACACAGGTATAGAGGCTTGGCAGTAGACTCCTTTAGCTACCAAGTCATTTCACCTGCCTGTTTGGGTTTTTTTGGGGGGAGGGGTATAAAACGTTTTAATTATTTTTGAGAGCTGTTCTCACAATGTAGCACTGGCTGGTCTGGAACTTTCTGTCTTAAGCCATAGAGATCTACTTGCCTCTCTCTGCCTTCTGATTGCTGGGATTATTGGTAGGGGCCCCCATGCCGAGCCTAAGGATTTGTTTAGTTTTGTTTTAGTTGACACATAATTGTACACAGTTATGGCATATAGTAATATTTTTATTCTAATAAACAATGTGCAATGATCAGATCAGGGTACCTGACATATCCTTTCTTTGAAACAGGGTTTTGCTGTGTAGCCCTGGCTGTCCTGGAACTTACTCTGTAGACCAGGCTGGCCTCAAACTCAGAGAGATCCACCTGCCTCTGCCTCCCGAGCGCTGGGATTGAAGGTGTGGGCCATCACCACCACCTCCTCTAGGCTCACTTGCTTTGTGTCAGGAATATTGGCATTTTTCTCTATTAACTACCTGAAATGCACAATGTTTTTATTAGACACACATGTTTTGCAGTAAATAATCTGTAAGCCTGCTTCAAAGAACACATAGGCAGGGCATAGTGGCAAACCACTATAATCCCAACACATAGGAGGCAGAAGCAAGCAGAGCTCTGTGAGTTCCAGGCCATACATCGTGGGATACATTGTGATACCCTAGCTCAATAAATAAATAAATAAGCAAAGCAAACTACAAATTCTCAATGGGTGAACATCATTATTATTACTTCCAAGCACACAAATTTCTGGATCATTTATCTGACATTAAGATGACACAAGGCTGATCCAGGCAGATTACATGAAGTCAGAAATTTACACCAATTTAAAAAGGGAAAGGAAAAAGTTACATATAAAAAGTCACCATTCCTGAGGCAGAAGCAGAGGCAAGCAGATCTCTGTGAGTTCAAGGCTAGCCTGGTGTGTAAAGACAGTTCCAGGACAGCCAGGGCTGTTACACAGAGAAATTTTATCTCAAAAAAGAAAAATAACTCTCTGGGGAACAAATGGGAGGTGAGGGGAAGGTGGGAAGAGTGGAGGGAGAGAAAACTGGAATTGTAATGTAAAAAATAAATTGATAAAAAAATATTTTAAATAAACAAGTCACAAAGTAGTACTGGGACCCCAGACACCGGGGAGGCTGAGGCAGGAAACTTAAAACTTCAAGGCCAGCCTGGCCTACATTCTGCTATAAAATGAAAAGTAGAGAGCTGAGGCCAGGTGGTGGTGGCACAGGCCTTTAAGCCCAGCGCAGAGGCAGGCGGATCTCTGTTTGTTTGAGGCCAGCCTCATCTACAGAGTTCCAGGACAGTCAAGCTACACAGAGAAACCTTGTCTCAAAAAATAAAAAAGAGGGCTGAGATATAACTCCGTGCTGAGAGTGTATGCCCTTCGCTCAGTCTTCAATACTGCAATACACACACACACACACACACACACACACACACACACACACACACACACACACACAAAATGATCAAAAGAAATCATAGAGAATTCTTTGCGGAAGAGTTAGTTCCGTTATAGTTGCAGACTTTGAGAACCTTGCAAGTGCGATGCTCCTCATTCACCACCAGGTGGCGGTGTCTGCAGTTAGAAACAAAACTCCCATCCAACAAATAATTCTGGAAGCCTGGCACATGGTCCCAGCTCAGACACTGGAGCATCTGAGCAGCTCCGGCTACATAAGGAGTTCAAAGTCAGCCTGAGCTACATGAGACCTTGTCTCAAACACTAAAATTAAAAAAAGAGATCTGGCCTCTTCTTTCCTCTCTTGTGTCTCTTCTTCCTCTTGTTCCTTGTCTTTCTGTCTGTCTGTCTGCCTCTCTCATGCTCTCGCTCCTACACGGCTTTTTGCTCTTTCACTCTGTCCCCGAGTCTCCCAATAAACCTCGTGCGTTCCAGGACAGCCAGGGCTACCCAGAGATACCCTGTGTCAAACAAAACAAAAATTAGGGTCCTAGGAGATGGTTCAGTCAGTAAAGTTCAGACCCCCCACGACCCCGGTAAAAGCCAAACACCACATCACACGTCTGTAAACCCCTAACTAGGAAGACAAAGACAGGTAGGTCCCTGGAGCTCACTAGCCAACTTGGTGAGCCCAAACCCCTGGTGTTAGGTGGAGGGCCAGCGAAGCGGCTGCAGGAGCAAAAAGCTCACGTCACCAAGACCGATAACCTGAACTGGAGCCCTGGCAGGAAGTGGAAAACATATTTCTGGAAGTTCTTCTTGCCCCGTGCGCACACACACACACACACACACACACACACACACACACGCCTCAGCATTCCCAAGCTTGACTGTGTGAACACACGTGAATGCTAAGAAAGATAAACAAATAAGGCAGAAAGCAATCGAGACAGAAAGACGGCAAACTCAAGGCCTCCCTGGGTTACAGGGTGGATTCACGGCCAGCTTATGCGTTTTTCCTGTCGCTAAACAAAAAGTTACAAATAAGCTGAAAATGAGGCTGAGGGATGGTTTGTGGGTCAAAAGTGAGCACTGCTCTACTAATGACCCGAGTTTGGTTCCCAGCACCTGCAGTGAGAAGCTCATCATGGCCTACGCCAGGGAATTACAATCCCTTCTCCTTGCCGTAATCTCAGACACACACACACACACACACACACACACACACAGCTTTTTTTAGATTTTAAAAAAGCATTTTATTATTTTAT